CCAGCCTCCCCTCCAACCTCTGCCTCTCACCTCTTGCCTCATCATCACCGTTCCCACGGATGCCAGCCCCCATGGGGACGGTAATGTCACCACCAGTGACCCTCCAGGGACCGGGGGCCACCGCTCCTTCTCCATCACCAACGGTGGTGGCACCATCTTCATCATCTCCTGTGGGACGGCCATCCCCAGTGCTGCTGGTGATGCTGTCCCCATGGCTTGGGGTGGCTGTGGTGGCCAGTCCTTCAGGCTGCCTGCGAGGAGGGATGCCATCATCGTCATCGCCGTCATATGCTGCAGTGACAGCTAGCCTGGGCATGGGGCTGATGGTGCCCACAGTGGGGATGCTGTCATCCTCCCTGCCAAGGGTGGCATCGGCCTGGGTGGTTTCTTGCTCCCCCACATGGATGTTGGCCCTCCCAATGAAGATGTTGCCCTCATCGTCCTTGTCTGGAGAGATCTGGGTGAAGCCGGTGGCCCTCGCTGTGCTGCCCACCATTCCGTGGGTGACGGTGACACTGCCCGAGTCGGGGACGTAAGCATATTCATCCATACCTTCGGTGTCGACTTGGACGTCCTCCATCTTCTCATTGACGGAGGTGAGAGTGGCACGTCCCGTCTCTGTGCCCCGCATGACATCCTCCTGCCCTTGGCCAGGGACAGTGGCCTCGCCGCTGCCCTCATCCCCAGCCCCTCCAGTGGCAGGACCCCTCACCCTCCCAGTTGTCATGGCTCCCTCCACTGGAACCCCCCCAGGGGCACCATCGTCCCTGTCCTCACTCCCGACACGGGACCTGTTCTCCGCAATGGCCTCGCCGGGGTGTCTGCCCTGGGGGAGGGTGGAAACACCATCGTCGACTTCACCCACCAAATCCAGGTCACCGCTGCCCTCTGAGCTGGCCAGGGTGGGACCTGCCACACCGACACCACCGCGCGCTCGTGTGCTGGTGCCCGGGCGAGGACTGTGAGCATCCCCGCCAACGCCTGGGATGCTGCGGTTTTCAGGCTTGATGCTGGTCTCATTCTCTGTCACATCAGTGGTGCCATTGTCACCTTGACCCAGGGCTGCCCCGTCCTTTGTCGGTCCTCGCCTGGCATCGTCCTCGCCCAGCCGGTGGCTGGAGATGACGCTTTGGCTGTCGGCCTCTTCCTTCTGTGCAGTACACACAAGGGAGAGGTCATGGTCAGCCCCGGCGCCTGCCGGCTGCGTGGGGATGCCGTGGCCAAGCCGGGGTCTTGCTGCGCCATCTGGCCGCCTCCTCACCTTTATCTGCGTCTGGTTCCTCCGCGTTGAAAACGAGTAGATGTATTTGAAAACATGGAAGCTATGGTTGGCATTGCAGCCTTTCAGCAGTATCTGGTGGAGAAGAAAATAACCCAAACCCACCATTTTCTTATCAAATGCAATGGCAGGAGCTTCCCTTGCTGTGCCTGGCACCGCAGCAGGGTCCCACCAGCACCCGCTGGGGCCCCAGGGTGGGTGGTAGCTCCCACCAGCACGGGCAGGGACCTGGGCAGGGTGCGGGTGCTCGCCTCCTGGGCTTCGTTTTCCCTTGGGCTCGTTTCCTGCCTTTGCTTGCTTTCAGGAGCTGTGAGGTTTGGTTTTGGTTTTTTTGCAAGGTAGCTTATGGCTTTGGTAAACAACCTGGTTGATGGTCCCATCAGACACGAGTGATGGGACCGACGGCAACCGAAGCGCTGGAAGAACAGCAGCTGGTTTCCAATAGGCAAAACCCAGGCGTTTTACTCCACGCTACTCATCTGATCTTTGCTACTGATGCATTTTACATCGATCCACTTTTTGAAAAAAAAAACCAACCAACCAACCAAACCCCCGTAGCAGCTGGGCCTGAGACTTCTACAACCTCACCTGTGGGTACACCAAGGATTTGGGCGGTGGGGCTGGGCAGGGGCAGAGGAGGACCCTTCCCTCGCCCGAGCACATCACACCTTCCCCCTCCCCTACTCTTTGTAAGGGCTGCTTGGATGCGAGGCGATCGCTGGTCTCTTTTTTTCCTGCGGCTCACTGGGGCTGCCCTCCAAAAGCGGCTTCGTCTCCCTGCACCCCCAGGGCAGGGCACCCCATGGGGGCCAGCTGGGGGCAAGGGGGGGACACACACGTACCCGGTGCTGTTCCATACAGTTCCTGGGAGCTCTCCCAGGCAGCGGCAGTGGCACCTGCGGGCAGCAAAACACAAGTGAGAGCCGAGGCATCAAACGCTGCCCCGGTGTCCAGGGAAGGGTGAGAAAACCGTGTTGACAAGTCAATAAATTCCCCGGCTCTCCCACCACGATGCTCCAACTTAGGGCTGGGATCTGACTGCGATGGGAGCCTGGAGCTGGTTCACCGGTGGTGATTCCCAGTGGTTACTGGGGAACAGAGCGGCAATGCCCGTACCCTCACAGCCCGGTTTCTATACATGCTTGTAAGCTTCTGGCTTCCCTGCATTATCCTGGCCTCTTTTGGGATGTATTGGCCAGTGCATCCCTCAGGGATGGGGGACCTGGAGCTGGGAGCATCCTGTGACCCCCCACCAAAGCCATTTCGGGGCATTCCCTATGTGCCAGAGGGGGAAATGGCCCCATGGAGGGGAGCCCCCTCCGATCTCAGCCAAATTGGCCAGTGACCCACCCCAAACCCAGCTGAAAAGGGCAGAAACGAACCCCAGCGTCTTCAATATTCCCGGGTTACTCCATTGTTTGTGAACAATGTCAAAGGCTGGATTACAGCCTTGGTTATGCAGGAGAGTATTAACCGGCTAGCTGAAAAACAAAGCTGCACTGATTTATTGCCTTCTCCCGTGCTGCCCTGTGCCGGACCCGGTTCTGCAAACTTGCCCTGGGGCTACAGGACCCAGCCCCCAGGGAGATGGGGTTTCCCTCCTCCTTACCCTGCCGGAAAAGCAAGCCTTCCCTAGGGAGCAGATTTTCAATCCAGCTGTGTATTTAATATGTTGGGCAACAGTTATGCAGGACAAAACCGACTACTATTATATTTATCTTAGTTTGCCCTTTGTTTCAGTTATATCTGTCTGAATTTCACATTAGGAGAGCTGGAATACAATTGCAGGCACCCCTCCGATCGCTGTTACCCCCACGGGTAAGGCGAGCATCCTCCCCACGCCTCCCTTCCCGTGGCCCCGCTGGGGCTGTTCCCAGGCCAAAAGCTCTGGGCAGATCCCAAATCCGCAGAAATCAAGGGGAAGAGTTACAGCGACTCCGACCGGCCCTTCCACAATGCCCTAACTGCTAAATTAAAGGGACTTCAGGGCTAAGATATATTTTTC